TTTTGTTGGAAATAATAATATTACCGTCTTCGGAAATTTATTTGGATTTTTTATTTTGATGAAATTAAAATTAATTTTAGCAAGAAAATAAAAATCATAGAATCAATATATAAATAAACATAAACATAAAAAATAATTGAGTACAATATTAATTGTATGATAGTAAATTTCGTTATACTCATATTTTAATTAATATGTGGTAAATATAAGATAATATTTATATAAAAATAATTATATAATTTTTAATCGTTTGACATTAAACGTTCACACCTTTGATATTCAGGATGCTCGAACCCAAAACTTTAAGTAACAATAACAATTCATTTATTACCGATGTCACTTGATCCATGCCATCCATATTATGATATTTATTTATTTGAATAAACAAATTATTCACTTATAATTTCAAAAATTAATGGTGCGAGAATACTAACTCAATTTATTACCTACAAACTATCATCAAAAGGTTTTTAACCGAGGAATAGACAAGAAGCATAGTGATTCCTTCATATAAAGTTCCTAAATAAACATGATAATTTCTGTAATTGCAGTAGCAGGGGTGCTCTCATTAGTGTCTCTGCATCGTTATCTAATTCATTGCCTCGTAATGTCCATTTTAACCTCCATTTGACCTATTTCTTTAATTTCTTAAAGACATCTATTTACTTATTTTTTATTATTATTAATTTAAGATAGATATAAGATATTAAATGTTTGAAAGATTCTTAATCATTTAATAATGAATGTTTATACACCCTTACAGACATTGTGCTCGAGGACATCAAGAGATAATAACAATCCATTGACCAATAAGATCGTTTAATTCATACATTTATTTATATCAATTCTTTTTAAAAGCAAATTAAACTTGAATTAATTTATGAAGTATATGAATAGAGAAGGGATGGGGTTGGAGGTAATTTGATGATATAAGGGTTGAAAGGTAGAGAGAAAGAGGTTGGAAATAGCAGTTAAAGAAGGGACGTGGCATAGTGAAATAGAACCGACCAAATTAAGAGCAAAGACGTTAAGGAAAAAGGGTGTATGCATGGATGAGAAGAAACGTGGAGTGCCGTAACCAAAATCACTATTCCAGATGGAAAACAGTTGGCTACACACATTCATCCCAATATGATATGGATGAATAAACCAACCAGACAGACTCAGAGGAACACGTGATTGTCCGTCCAAGAGGGAGGGCTGTGCCTCAATTCCCGTGAGACCCAAACAACATACAAACTCTACTCTCACTTCTAACGTCAATATATATTATCTGAATTATGAAATTTAATTAACGCTTAAATTAATATAAATATAATTTTAGAGTTAAGAAATCACTCTGAAACGCTCACTCCCGATCACGTGACTCCCCTTCTTCGAACTTCCAAGCCGTCTATTTGAACAATCAAACAATAACATTTATTACTCAAGAGGAATTACATTTTATAATACTATATATATATATAGTAATTGATGATGCAAAAGAGAGATTTTGCACTGTACTATTGTCGGGTGGTACATGATTGCTGATCATGCAACGTACTGAACCGCACCGTAGCTCTAACCCCGTTAAATACCAGATCTCATCTCCGCTGTCTCGCTCAGTCGCTCTCCATTCAATTAATCGGATTGTCCCAATTTTACGGACGAACGTTCTCTGTCTTAGGAGGGCGTTTCCGTCATTTCTCAGTTAATTGCTTCTGAAGCGTTAAGTCGCTCTCTGAAACTCACGAGTCTCAAGGCTTGAGATTTTGGGGAAGTTCTTGCTAAGTCAACTTAATTTAAGATTCAAAAATAATAAAATTATGTATAATTAAAAATGTGAAAAAATATAATACTTTTTATTAGGCACATTTAGAAATGTTGTATATTTTTTAATATTTTTAGTTGAACTTAAAATGTGAACTTAAAATGTTAATTTTATTATATTTTTTATTACGTTTATTTTCATCATTTTTCAATTTTAAATTAAATTATCGTCCCTTAGACTCTCCCGATATTTTAAGATCCAAATAGCTTTAATTTCGCTTCCCTATTTTAAGCCTTACAATTTATTAATTATTTATTAGATAGTACAGAGTAAACCAAAATCCATTGAAATTACAGTTATTTAATTAAAAAAAAGTATTTAATATAAAAATTATTTAAACTCAGTTTGGTTTTAGAAAATATTATTTATATTTATTTTTAGAAAACATTTTTTACTTTTAGTCTTTTGAATTGGTATCTAATTTTTTTTAAAATAAAGATTAACAAATAATTATTAAATAATTAAATTAAAATAAAACTATTACAATTTCATTACATAAATTAAACATGTGAATTATGAATTTATAAAATAAAAAAAATTGATAAGAAATTTCATAACACAAAAATTATTTTAGTTTGTAATAAAAATATAATGTTAATGCATATCAGACATCAATTAATTTTAGAAAGTAGACAAAAAAATATTGTTGCAAGCAAGAGTACATAAAAGTGTCATTAAACTTTTTTTATATAGTTGCATTCGGGGCCCTCAAACTTTTTTTTTGGGACTAACGTAGCCCTGAATTTTTTTTTGCACTCAATGTGATCATTAAGCTAAAAAAATTCAAACTAATCCCTTGGCCAATGGATCAAACATTGACTGTCACAACGCTTATATGGTAATCTACAATATTGATGTCACAATATACGATGGATGATGATGTAGTAGATGTGTTTAATTGATTTTTTAGGTAAGTTCGATGTCCTAATTGATTTTTTTAAAAAAAGTTTAAGTAGTTGTTTAATTTCTTAGAAAAAAGTTGTTTAAATTTAAAATATAAAAAATCATTAAAATATTCAATGCATTAAATATAAAAATACTATAAATTAAATTATTAAAACAATTCAATTTGTGGAACGTATTGAGTGTAAAAAAGTTTAGAAACTATATTGATTTTTTTATAAAACTTTGAGCTTCATATATCATCAAGTCAAAATATTGTTGTTAGGAGGATTTGAACAGTGCATGTTAAGTTAAAAATTTAGATATCGTCTTTTTCTATTTTTTAAATTTTTAAAATAATTTTAATGAAATTACTGAAAACATCTTTTTTACGTTTTCATATTTTCATTTATTTATATTTTCATTTTTCAAAAATTATTTTTACTTTTACAACCAAACATATTTTCTTCAACATTTTTTATATTCTAAAATTTTAACAAAGTAACTTATATTTTTCAAAACCAAACATAAATTTTTTTAGAGGACAAATATTAAATACAGTTGTTAGTAAATATATTATAGGTTTACTGTAATCCTAATTTTTATAAACCAAATGTATTGGGACATGATCTCATTTTTCAATTATTCCTAACACATTTTGACAATCTTTTCTAAAAAAGGAATGAAATATCCATTTCAAAATTGGAAAAGGTAGTTTATTACCCTGCGATTTTGCTGGACCTTGATAACTAACAATAGCAGTCTTTGATCTTTGGACCGATGCCGAGTTATTTGCTTCCTGGATTGGCCCTTTTTCTTGACGCAGACACGAGTTTGTTAGAGAACCGGACCGTATTTGTATGTATACCTAATAAGCCTTCCAATGGTCCAACCCAAAAGACTGCATTCAACATATTAATCATGTTTTCATTTAGTTGCCCCAAAAATTTCCATTACATGTTATTAAATTTTAATAGCTATATCAAATTCATTATTAAATTTTAAAATAATATAACTATAGTACTACATTTTAATTTAAGTTTTAATTATGTTATTAAATAGTTAATTTGTAAACGTCACGATAAAGAATATATCAATTTTGTTAATATCATGATGTAAATGATAAAAATATTATTTTCAAATAAAAATATATATAATTATTTGATATGTGAATGAACAAAATCAATAAAAAAAAATCAAATTTTAGAATGAAAACTTGTCTGGTATGGATAGGTCACTGACAATGTGTGTGTTTGACGATAGTGTTGGGTGCAGCCTTGAAATGGTGTAGGGAGTGGATATATGTTGAAGGTAAGGGCTTATGTGCCGGTGAGAGAGGGCCTCGATGGTGGTGTTTGAGTCATAGTCAAGAAACCATGCCTTTTTCCTTCGGTTGGTTATGTGTTTCCTTTTTGTTCTCTATTTTTTTCTTTATAAAAATATATCTTAAACACAATATCTATAACATCAAAATAACTAGTTATGTATTTTTTTAAAAATTATGATATTCACTCAGAAGATTTCGTATAAAAGCCGTTTCACAAGCGTTCAAAGAGTGACAAAAGAGTAGCTTCTACATACTTTTCTGGGAAAAGAAAAAGCTTGTGATGAAGCACGTAGATATTTGTCTTGAAACTCGATGAGTTATGAATTGTGATGAGGTGGAGGGTGATGTACAAAGGAACTATGATGACGAATTAGGTGAGAGCATCTCTGACGCATTTCGAGACCAATTAATGAACGAGAGAAACATCGGTAAAATTTTCACCAACCTTTTATCGGTTACGTAAGCTAAGCGTTCACAACAGAGTCAACCCAGCGTGAACACTGACAACTTTAATTTTTATGAAACACCTGTTTCTTTCTCATGAATTCAATCTGCATATAATTTTATTTAATTTATATTTTGAAATATAAACTTTAAAGGTAAATCTAAAATTAACATAATGATATAGTTGGTTGATAATATATAATTTACAGATTTTCTTACTAAATAATTTACACACTTTAAATACATTAAATATAAAGAAAAGTTATACACAAATAATGTATGTGAATCCTAGATTTGTTTCCAGATATAAATAAAAAAAGGCAAAAATAAATCTCGCCCAAAGAAAATGGAATTTGAAAAGATTGAAACGGAACGATCGACCTGTTTAATTTTGATTTTCTTGATAAAAAAGTATCTGGTCCTGAAATGGGTTGGTTCGGGTTCGGGTACTTGAGAAGGGACCTAGATCTTTCTTTCGCTCACCCAGTATGTCAGCCAGCCGCTAAATCTTTGGCTATAAATAACCTTTCCCCCCACGCATGCTATCCATATTCATTTGCTTTGCTCTGAAGCTCGGAAACAGTTCAAACATTTAAGAAGACGAAAATGCCTAGATTGCCTGAAGAAGAACACCCTAACAAGGCTTTTGGATGGGCAGCCAGAGACAGTTCCGGTGTTTTATCTCCCTTCAAATTTTCCAGAAGGTTTCCTTTTTGAACTTTTTATCATTAATCCATCTTTGAATCTGTTTTAAGGTCCTTGCTTGTTTGTTTAATAAAAATAAATGATGCACATGCAGAGCAACGGGAGAAAAGGATGTAGCTTTCAAGGTGCTTTATTGTGGGATATGCCATTCGGATCTTCATATGGTCAAGAATGAATGGGGAACTTCCCTTTACCCTCTTGTCCCTGGGTATGTGATTTCTCTCAGTTTTGTCTCTTCATCTTCTCCAATCAGTATATTATATATAGATTAGATTTGAAATATTCCTACGTATTGGATGCAGGCATGAGATTGTTGGTGAAGTGACCGAGGTGGGAAATAAAGTCCAAAACTTCAAAGTCGGGGACAGAGTTGGAGTTGGGTGCATGGTTGGGTCATGCCGTTCCTGCGATAACTGCAAAGACAATCTCGAGAATTACTGCCCCAAAATGATACTTACCTATGGGGCAAAATACTATGACGGAACTCTTACATATGGAGGCTACTCCGACACTATGGTTGCTGATGAACATTTTATCGTCCGCATACTTGATAACCTGCCTCTCGATTCGGCAGCCCCGTTGCTCTGCGCTGGGATTACAGTGTATAGTCCATTGAGATATTATGGACTGGATAAGCCTGGTTTGCATATTGGTGTGGTTGGACTGGGTGGTCTTGGTCATGTTGCAGTGAAATTCGCCAAGGCAATGGGAGTTAAAGTCACAGTGATTAGCACCTCCCCTAATAAGAAGAAGGAAGCTTTGGAAAATCTTGGTGCCGATTCGTTCTTGATCAGCCGAGACCAAGATCAGCTTCAGGTTTATATATTTATATATTATTTCAATGATTCATATGTATATAGTTGTTCTAAATGCAATATTTGGTGTATAGGGTGCCACTGGCACATTGGATGGAATCATCGACACAGTATCAGCTCAACACCCTGTGCTGCCATTGCTTGGGCTGTTGAAGTCTCATGGGAAACTTGTTCTTGTTGGTGCACCAGAGAAACCACTTGAGTTACCTGTTTTTCCTTTACTCCAAGGTAAGAATCTACTGTCATTATTTCTTTAGTGATATGGGATCCCCAATTCCCCTCGGATATCCTACATTAGAGTCGTAATTTTGGGTGCAGGAAGGAAAGTGGTGGGAGGGAACATGATTGGGGGGATGAAGGAGACTCAAGAGATGATTGATTTCGCAGCCAAACATAACGTAAAACCAGACATTGAAGTTATAGATATGGAGTATGTGAACACCGCCATGGAACGCCTTGCGAAAGCTGATGTCAAATACCGGTTTGTGATTGACGTTGGGAAAACATTGAAGGCCACATCTTGAAGTTTTTATTACCAAACAAATCCATATATTATCATGTCGTAGTATTACCTCAGTTTTAATTTTAATTTTCTCTGGATGTATTGCACAGGCAGGCTGCTATTAGAGGTGCACAAAAAATCCGAATATCCGATTTTGGGTAAAAAATATCCGAAACCGGATTTTGAAAAAACCGGTTTTTTTAAAACCGGATCGGATATTTAAAAACCGGTTTGAGAAAAAATTGAATGACCGGTTTTTTTACCGGATTAAAAACCGGTTTTTTTCAAACCGGATTATCCGGATAAAAAACCGGTTTTTTTAAAAAATCGGTTTTTTAACCGAAAAAATCCGGTTTTTTTTAAAACCGGTTTTTTGCAAACCGAAACCGGTTACACCGGTTACACCATCCGACCCTCCAAACCGGTTAAGATCCGAACCGGTTTTTTTAAAATCCGGTTTTTGGGTTGGGAGAAAAAACCGGATCGGTTTTTATCCGATCCGGATCGGATTGAAATCCGGCTTCTGTGCATCTCTAGCTGCTATTAACAGAATAAATAAATCGTACATCTTGTTTCAAGAATTAATTTTCCCTTCTAATTTTTCATGCCTCGTAAGATTTTGATGCTTAATTAATGATTATATCTTAAAGGTCCGTCTGTTTTTAACTTGCAGGATCAATTAAAGTGTTATTTAATTATTTATCATTGACTTTAATTTAGTCATAAAATGTCCGTCAATCTTGATAGCTAGCCCTCTGCCCCCTTTAAAAAAAATCATGCCACGTGGTTTGTTTGCGTTCCTCCCTCCTATGTATTTCTCTGTAATTCATTTTATACGGTTAATCTTTTGTATTTCGATTGTCCTATTTTAATTATTAAAAAAAACAATTTTATAACGTTAATTCTATTTTAGTTCATCGACTCTTAATTTTCTTCAATTCATTAATATAAATTTAAGTTGATAAGTAAAAAATCACGTGTTTCTTTTTATTCTTCTTCAAGTTATTAGGATTTAATTGTTGAACTGAGATCCAAACAATATATTATAGAATTGAAATAAATCCTCAAAAATATTAACTGTATGGTTGTTGTTTGAAATCATGAGATATTGAAAACCATCATTGAGACTTGTACCTGTCACACGAACAAAATTAATTAAGTGATTAAAAAATTATTGTTATTTAGAGGTTTTGAGTTTAAACATAAGAGAATGTAAAGAAGTTTAAGTTTTAATTTAATGATTGAGAATCTTTAAAATATATATTTCGTAGAGTAATATTGGCCAACTGGAATACTAGTCAAATGCTAAAATTTGTCAGTTGTTGCTTAAAAAATAATGTATGAAAAACAATACAACAATACTAAAATTTGAAAAACAACGAGTCAAGCCCTAGTATAGCCAAGCAAAAATTGCATCCGAAGCATCTTCATCAAACACAACTCTTAATCTAAAAAAAGACGACCCTGTTTTCTTTGAAAATATAAAACGCAAGCTCGCGAGAAAACTCGAGAATGCAAACAACACTTGATCAAACTATCTCGACTAGGAACTCATTGCAATCAAATTTGAAACTAAACTCTTTAAATAGACGAACCAAAACAACATTCATAAATTCTATGTATAACTACAATATCTGATTACTCCCTACTAACCAGCTAATTCTACGTATAACTACAAACATTCATAAATTCGTTAAAAATATTTTCTTAAAAGCATTTTTAAGTTCATTAATAGTCGCGTTACTAAAACTAAACGGACTGATTATATAAGGGAGTAAAATCATTTTTTTTGAATCAATGATCAAAATTGATCAAATTGAAAACATAAAGAACTATTCTTATAGTTTATCCTTTAAAATATTTAATATTTAATTTATTGGACTTGAGTGTGACAACAGAAAGGACTGCTTGAGAAGGGTGGAGTATCTGCTTCGTTTGAACTTATTGGGGTGGATCTTCCGTGATAAAGCCCCACATGGATTTAGGCGATTGATCTGTCAAAATGTGTCTGAACTTTTCCAAATTTGGACCATTTATTTTATTTCTACCAAACATTTACTATGTTCTCATTTATGGGTTTTGTGGGCTTCATCCACCGCACCTTTCACTTTTGTCGTGTTTTGACCCAGTCAAACATTATTTTCATTCAAATTGTTGGTGTTCTGTAAGTATCGACAAACACATGCTATCTCGATCTTAAATAGCTTAAATTTCGTTTAGAATTTTTTTTCTTAAAAAAACAATTAAAACTGGTCGGTTGTTGTGTTCACACACAACTGTTTTAACTTTAAATCTAAAGTGATGCATCACAAGGAAACCGGTTTAAGGAATCCAAGACTCACATTCGCCTGTTTTTTCTAATCTTTATGTTAAAGATTAATATAAAAATAAGTGTTTAAATTATATCATTTTTTAAATAGATGTTTATTTTTTCGATCAATTCAAGTGTTTAACATTATAAATATTATCACTTTAAGTGGAAGATAATAGCTGTTAAAATATTCCATTAAATGAAACGTGTAATGTTTTGGTAATTTTTAAAAAAATATTTAAAACAATAAATTATATATATATATATATTAAAAAAACTCAAAAATTTTGAAAAGTTTTAAAAAAATCAAAACTTTGAAAACTTTAATTTTAATCTCTGTGCCCACACCGACCATCGCCGTTTGACACTGTTTTCGTCAACCAAACTTCCACCCGATAATGACTCATAACCCATAAACGCGACATCTTTGACGAAGGAAACAATAAAATTGAACCCCAAATGACAAACTCGAACCCCTAAAATCACGACACCCAGGTGATCCGACGACGACAAAAGAGAGGACAACCGAGAAGGGAGATGGCAAGGGCGGAGATTGGCGACGATAGTCGTGGCCAACAAGATAGTTAGGGTTAGGATTGAGTAAGGGATTTTGAATTTTTAGGGATTACGGTTTTTTTGTAATTTTAGAAAAATGGAGTTATTTTTTATAAATATAATATTTTTAAAAATAAAATTTTTAAAATTATCAGAATGTGACACATGTCACTTAACAGAGGTTTTTAACGTCATTACGGTCGAAGCATCTAAAGAGATAGACGTCTAGATTAACTGGAAAATAGTTTAAGCACTTGTTTAGAAAAAAAAGATATAATTTAGAAACTTTATTTTTATATTAGGCCTTCTGTTAATAAGGATATAAGTAGTCAACCTTTAAAATGTGTAGAATCAATGACAACATAATTTTATATTAAATGGATGAATTTATGAAATTTTAATTGGAGATGAACTTATAAAATTTTTGGAACAAAAATAGACTTTTAATAGAAAATATATCTAAAATTTATAGAAATATAAAATTTTTAAAGGGCGACTTCCCTCATCTGTCATCCTTTATAAAATATATACAAAAAATTACAGTGTGAAATTCTGAAAAATTTAAAAATCTAAAAATTCATAGAATTAATATATATATATATATAAACTAATGTATATTAAACATACGATCAATTAAGGTTTACATATAACCAACTGTAAGACTATTACAAAGATGTTAAATTAGTAAATAAAAGAAAAGACATCAAATAAATTTTAATCTCTCGTATCTTTTTCATAATTATCTAACTCTCTTACTCATTTTTTTTGAAATTGTTGAATTGTTTTTTTATAGTTAACATTTATTTTTTTAAACATATGTAATCAAACAATCATTCATATATGTCAATCTCTACAGTAGATAATTAAAAGCTCCCGTTGACATCTTCCATCTCTCCTTGATTGCAGGTTTATTATCTATTAGGAATAAAATTCTTATTCCCTCCCTTTTTATTAGGAATTGTTAAAAAAAACTAATAATTCATATATTAATTTTCAATTTGTTATATAAACAAATCAATTTATAGTTTAAAAATATAACTGACTGTATAATAGATTAAGATATAGGTTTAAAAATATAATCGGATTGGATTTGAACGACAAAATAGATTTTATAATATATATATATATATATATATATATATATATATATATAAGTTTATGGTATCAACTCACTATAATATATAATTTTTATATAAAATAAACTTAATAATTTTTAAGTTTATTGCATTGCATGTGAAGTTCCAAATCCATCTTGCAATTGAGAGACGATTGGGGGATTGCAAAATCAAATAATTCAAAGCAAGCCGATGAGCAAATATAATTAATAACTATTTTATTCTCTCGTTTTATCGAAAGCCTATGAATATGAATTACTACTACCAGAGAGAACATGGACCAACTTCCTATTTCTTGATTCATTAAACTGCAGGTCCTTCTAATCTAATATAATCATACATAACAGCTTCGAACGGATTTTGGCTTCTTTTCTGTGTAAGAAAGACGGTGTTTTCCCCTCTCTGAAATCTATTTCCAGGCACGTTTATACTATAAAATCTGTACAATCCATGAATTCCGTGTCTCGGTACCGCATTGTCGCACCCGATTCTCGACGTCGTAAAATAAGGTTTCGGATCGTTGAATCGAACCTATGAGAAGATTCATATTAGAGTGAAAGATGCATTGGTAAATGATGGGTGAGGATGTTAGTTTGAGTTTTTTTTTAATAGTTATACCTGAACTTCAGCGTATGAAGCTGCTGCCAATGCCAATTGGAGAGTGTAATTTCCTGCCTCGTTTACTTCCTGGAGACTGTATCTGATCTGCCATGTGGTTGCCCGCTCGGTATTGTTTCCTACGTTCCTGTGATTGAAATTATTGGCACCAACAAAAAATTTAATATTGGATACAAATGAGTCAATTTGAACGAGTCAATTCAAGTTTAAAGTAATCGAATTGAATTTTTGGATTGAGTTTAGAATTGACATTGATCTTGAGGAATTTCGTGAGTCGAAAATGGTACCTGGGAACGTGAGCAAAGAACCAATCCTTTGAATAATCACTAACACCCACATTATAGACAAGATCACCGTGACGATAAATATCCGAGTAACGATCCCACAATCCGTATTGTCGAAATCTGTTTCGTCACAAAAACATGTTTTGAAGTTAATGAAAATGTCAGGCAGGTTAGTGTGGGCAAAGAGCTTTACCTGTCGACGCTATGGTCGAGGATTGAGTTAACAAACGATGGGTTCGGTTCCGGTACGAAGAATTCAGCAGCTGTTCTGTCGGGAATCCCGATTTCCCACAAAGTCGGGCCATTTCTTGGAGGATCATATATAAGTGTACCCACGTTGATCTTGTTTCCTGCATATGAATATCTCTAAATGATCTTAACTTGTTTGAAACCCAAGGATCAAATAATTGCGTTAATTAGGAGATTGACTTTACCTGGTTGGATAGTAATGTTTTGATCTAATTTGTAGTTTCCAATGAAACCATAGACCCATGCATACAAATTATACACTCCTGGTCGGACATTTTTTATACTGAATCGGCCATTGTTGGTGGTTTCAGTCCAGAACTGATAGCCCTAGAATTAAAAAAGGAAGATGAAGAAATGGAAAGTAAGTAGAATAGAAACCAGCTGGATACCAACCTTTCCTTCCGTCTGCCATGATCCTGCAAATCCAGGCGCAGCCAACCCCAAAAAGGCAGATTTCGCCTGCATCAATTTCTTGTCCATGTATCTGAATCGAGAACAAAAGGCAAAGATAAGCTTATACTAGTAGGATGAAGAGATAAGGAAAAAGAAAAGACACTTACTGGTCTCGTACTAGTAATTGACCATTAACTTCTCCTCGTCGTTCAGCGTGAGGGAAATCTTTAGAAGCAACGAAATCGTAAGGCCAACTTTGGAGTTCTTCACTCAGCTGCCTTTTAGCATCACCCCAGAGTGTCTTACGGTAACCATGTTTAGGATCGGAAGCAGCGGAGTTGAGATAGATGAAAACAGGGCCGAAAACCTTTTTCCAGGGCTCTCCATTCTTATACAACACGTTCATGTCGGTGCCCGTGTAATGAGTACTCGTAAACATCTACATCAACAAAACAACCGAATATCATTGATTCAAAGCTTAAATGAAAGCTATATAAGATTGTGTTGGGTTACTTACGGAGAGAGCAGTGGGGCCGACATGAGAAGTGAGGTCCTGCTTAAGCGGGCCGCCGCTTCGGAACTCATTGCTGGGGCTGATTACCCAGAAACCGACGGCGTCGTCATCTGATATCCAACCATGAAGCTTGTTATCTTTGTTCTCTGCGGAATATTGGTACTTGTCGTCAACCTGCGCCCCACAGTTATCAGATTAGTGTTGTCGGAAAAAGAAAAACAGATACATACGGATAGCAATCGGTGATAAAAATATAACTTTACTATGAAATTATAAAATTTTAGAATAAAAAATAAATTATTAATATAAAAATATTTAAATTAGATGAAAATTTGAAATTTTCACCTCGATCCATCCTTAAAATCCGTCAATGTATTTGATTAGGTGTTAAATGAGTTGATGTGAGTAACAATAGTTATAAGTTTGATCTTGATACTAATTCAGTGATCATGATTTAATATACGATTCATTTTTAATTGGATCTAAGATATAATTAAATTATTCTATTTCGTTTTGATTAAGTTTATTTATTTTATCTATATGCTCCATCTTGAATCAAGTTTTTATATATATATATATATATATAGTTTTTTAATAAAAAAGTAAATATATATAATATTTTAAATGTTGAAAAAAATCATTATATTTGTAAGATCTTTGAATGATGTATTTAAATGCTCACTTGTTCAATAGTTGGAATTCAGTTAGATATTTATTAAATTTGAATTAAAAAGAACGCTTGGTATGTCAGGAAAATTAAATGTTAAATATGAATATTCTATTTGATAACTATAAATGTTGCATTTTGAAAGGAAAAAAAATTATATTTACACGCTTAACCTTAGTTTTATCAAAGAAAGAAGAAAATACCTGTCCTCTAAGTCGTGGATTGGTTGGATTGGTCAAGAGAACAGCTTCTTTAAAAGCAAGAACTTGACAGTGGCCAGGTTCTCGATCTTCTGCTGTAGGCATTATGCTTTGTCTGTTGTCTGATATTGCCATGAAATGGAACCTGAATTACATTGCATCAAACATCAACACTTTCCTCAATGCTTTTTAACCATTAAAAAAAACACAGATCTTCCATTGTTCATTTGTATTTTTTTTTTACTTGTCTTCCTTGAGCTTGAAAGCAATCCTTATTTGATACATGTGAGCATCTGGAAAATCTGCTTCTCGCTCGAATATACTATACATATACAGTCCCGGAACGCCTCTCCGTACTATATACCTGCAAAAGCCTTAAACCATTAAAGCACAAAGACCATGAAAAAAAAGTTGTCCTTTTCAACCTCGGAGAATGTTTGCAAACCTTTTGTCTATGTTCAAAGGAACTGAGTTGCGGTTATCTGTTGTAGATTTCCATGTTTTGGTAAAGGAAATCTCAACTACCTCCTCAGTCTGTGTAATGATCTCCATATCTTGTGCAGGTAATCTGCAGTAGCATACAAATAAATAAAACCAGTGTAAATTAAACAAACAACAGGATATTACCATTAGTGTAAAATTGACTAAGAACTTACTTGTCGTAGGCTTGATTATCCCAGACAATGTCCCAGTACCTAAGGAGTCAATGAAATTTGAGTCGAACCGAATCATAACCAGAAAGGGGAAGGTTGAAGAAAAGGGAAAACGGGATATAAAAAAGTGAATATACCCTTTATTGTCGTGGTGGTTTCTGGTTTCGAGCACATTAGGTATTTTCTTATATCTAATTCCTGACAAATAACCCGAAGGATATTCGATGGTGACTTCAACAAGTCCATTATCAATAAAAACCTGAAAAAAGTTTCATTTGGTATTTAATAATACTACAAGACCTATGCATTAAGGGACGAAAACATAGTTTTATGTTAAGATGAAATTATAAAATTTTAAGAGGCTAACATAAATTATTATTAATAAAATAAAAAAATATCTAGTTCCATGCGTACATTTTTATTGAATTATATACTATGATACGCATGTATTCTTACTCTCTCATCATTTCTATGCAACTTGACTTCACGAACCATCCTAATTCCAGCCTTGCTTTTTCTACAATTCAAACATGGATACGTAAAAGATTAGATGTGTTAATCTGGGAATTAGAACAGACCTAGTATTTTTTGTTTAATGTGTTATAATATATTTGTAAACTTTATCATGCTCTAAGCAAGGAGTAGGCAAAAAGATTATGAACTTGGGAATTAGAACAGACCTAATATCCTGGGAATTTTAACTAAAGACAATAGAAAAAAAAGGTAAAAAAAATCCATGCATTCACATGTTGAAGTAAACAAAAAAATGTTGCTTAAAGAGAAAATTTTTGCCACCCAAAAAGCATTGCCATAGAGAAAGACGAGTAAATATTACCGACTCTTACAAGAAGTTACTGTCGGGTTTCACAATTTGAGGCCTGTGCCATGTGCAGTAGGTTAAGTCTAAAAAAAGCCATGGTGCCAAAGCCAGTAGGCCGGGAGAGATAATTGGAAGAGATGAAGGGAATGGCATACAACAAAGAATAATAAAGTCATAGAGTCGAATCGAACCGATACTAATATAGCAGAGGTTTCTTTCAAGTTTCATCACATAAAACAAAGCAAAACAGGCCAAAAACACGGGACGATTAGTATGAAGAAGAAGAAGAAAGAAATAACCTGGCTGGGATTTCAGCAGAGAAAGCTGAGAAAAAGAGTAATGAGAACTCAGAGACGATTACTAGCCATAAAACAAGGTGAGTGGAGTGAGTCCTGGTTACCACCTTCTCCATTTTTTTCTCACTGGACTGATGCAGTAACATTTTGAGGGTCATATACTCATGGTTTTTAGCTGTTGTTCCTCACAGCATTCAAATGGGAGAAGCCCATCAATAAGGTAAGAGATCAAGGAGAGATTTTTAGGCTCACCATAAATGGAAACAAACCCAAAATGGCAATGTTCAATGGTTTCAAAGCAAAAGGAGAAAAGAAGAAGAAGAAATCAATTTATCTTCTGGTTAGGCAAAGGGTTTTTTCGTTACAGAAAATATGGCAAAAGAGTTATTAATGGCTTTCTAAAACGTGCACCAACTTATATGGGTACTATATATACATAGATAGCAATAAGGTTGTTATATGTAATTTTCATAAAATTTATATAAAATCCGTTTTAAAATTTGAGTTTGTTGATTATCCGTAATATATTTTACTGTTATTCAATTTAGATTCCGAATCACTTATTATATTTTTATATTCGTTTTTGTTAAAAAAATCGTATCTGTCAATTAAGTAAAAAGTTAAAATAACAATTTTAAGAAGAAATAGAGTAGACGTTGAAGTTGCAAATAATTTTTATTAGGGAAATTTATCTTAATAAAGAAACTTGTTCAAACCATTTATGTATTTAACACTGATCCCAAGCCATATCATTGTGTTTTTGTTATTCAAAATCACAATAAATCAAGTCTTAAATATATATTTAGTTGCTTGAATTAGACATCGGTATCTAAAATTTTTTACTCTTTAGTTGATACATCAATTAAACATCTTCTTCTAAATTGATACTTCAAATTTTTTTTTCTTTTGAGTTAGTACGTTAGCTTTGATTTTGTTTAAGAAATATTTATTTTTTGAGTTAAAAAATTGGCAAGTTGTACGGTCCTTGTTAACCAAACTTGGCTAGCTGTCTCGTAGGTTCTACAACGCCTTGCGCCGCACTTGTAACATCTCAAACTACGGGTTAGTGGTCAAATTGTAAAATTTTAGAATTTAGTGATTAAAGTAGAATAATTGAATAGTTCAATGATTTATGTGGAGATATTTCCTTAAAGTTGTTAGTAATTATTAAAAGAATTAAAGGGCAAAATGGTCATTTGACTTGAAAATGATAATAAAATGATATATAGGCTTGTGGGGATAAGGATGAGGATATATTTTCTCCACTTCATCTTCTTCTTCTTCATGTACGAGAGAAAGAGAGAGCCAAGCTTGCAAAGGTAAGTTTTCGAATTTGTTGATCATTTGTTGATTTAAAGATTGGGTTTTCATCATTAGATGATAACTAAGCTTAAGGAAAGCTTAAGTTATCTTAAAATCAAAAGATAAATGAGTTATGACATATTAAAAAAAAATGGGTTTTTAAGTGAAATTTTGAATAAGAAGTTTTAAATGAATTTGGAGGATGAATTTGACTTGTCATCTGTGAGAATAAGAAGTTATAAGTGTTAGAATTAAGTTTGGATAACATGGAAATTTTGGTATGATTCTTAGCCTTAAGAATTTGGATGAAATATGGAAGATTATAAGGTGTTGGAATGATAGGAATTAGTTAAAGTTGTTATAGATGAATTTAGTAGCATAATAAGGATTTTATACATGAATATATGGGTGATGTGTTGATGATTTTCGGATGAAATAGCCTATTCTGGGCAAGTGCATCGATGCACTATGAGTGTGTACCGATGCACTAAGATAAATTTTGAAGGTGCATCGATGCATTAAGGGGTGCATCGATGCATTAAGGGGTGCATCGATGTATGGAAATTTCAAAGCTATTTTGTGTACTGATGCACCCATAATGCATCGATACACCCCTAAAGGAAAAATGGAATTTTGGTTCATTAAACTAGCTTGAGTTATTAACATCAAGTTATAAGGTTAAGGCTTCTAATAATCGTCTTGGAAATTATGTTTATGTAGAGATTGAGCCTAAACAAGTTTCAGAACAAGCAAAGAATTATGATCGAATCAAAGCAAGGCTAAGGTGAGTGCAAATTTTAATTGTACTTATGGTATTGAACGAACATTGGCTTGCGATGAGCCAGTGATGGATTTGCTATGATAAGAAGTGACTCCTAAAATGTTATTTGATTTGTTATTTTTATATGTGCATGAATACATGAAATAAGTATAGGTTATTATATATGTTACATGATCTGCATAAACATAAGAGCATAAAACATAAGATATATGATATATGATATGATATACATGATTATATGCATATGTGATATATGCTATGAGACATGATGTAACACCCCTAACCCGTATCCGACCCGAATATGAGTCCGAGGTGTCACATTGACTTTTCAACCTTTGACACTTAAAGAAAAACAGGGAAATTTTAAACTTTCATTAAAACAAAATACGTTAATTTACATAAAAGAGATTACGAAATACAAAATCGACCAGAGCATTCATAATTAACGACTGATTACATGCCAACGTTCTATACACAACCCAAAATACCTACTTTTCCAATTACTTCTGATCTGATCTTTTAGTAGTGATGCTATTCTTGCCACTTCTAGTATTGTTCTTCTTGTTTCCTGGTACCTACGTGTAAATCACTTACACGCTAAGTCATAGACTTAGTGAGGCAATAAATAAACATGTAGCTATAGATTCATGAATATGCATTCTTACCATGTGATCATAACATTTCAATATGCATATATATATTTCACTGTAACCGATACAATCATGTCATGCACATATGAAACGTATTTTCTTGTATCACTTTCACCTTACTTTATCTTTCAATTGCCCATGTACATTATTGAGAACAGAGGTATTTGAGTACATTGAGGTTGTGCACTAATGCTGTCACCACAGCTCAATAAATTCCCTTATGGGGCACCGAACATTTGTTCAGTATTTGCCCTGAAGGACCACTGGATACGTCCCGAAGGACCACTATGTCCCGAATGACTAATATACCCTCGACTCTTGGCATGACAACTATACCTATAACTCTCGTATCATATAACATGGGCTTTAATATGAATACGTTTCTCATTTCATATCTCTTTCATCACTTTTCATGTAAACACATAATCTTTTCCAGTATTTCACATACTTGGATTATATTTTCTGGCAATGATATTCGTTCATTCAATGTCATATGAACATATAATGAATTATGCATGCAATCACTATTACAATAATATATGTATGCATATACATGGGTATGAAATCATTAATTCAACTATCAGAGATAGACTTATCACAAGTCTTGTCTCTATACACTTTAACTATAAAATACACTCACCTTAGCCTTGCTTGATTCGATTCTAATCCTTCGATTGTTCTGGAACAAGATTACGCTCTAAATCTATATAGTAATACATTGATACTTATCAGCATATGAATTGATATATTTCAAACTATTAATTCTTAGGCTAAAAGAAATCTATTTTCATCTCTTATTGAAGGTATGCATCGATGCACTACATCATGTATCGATGCATCCCTTGACGGGTGCATCGATGCACTACTCATTCATCGGTGCATAAATCCTATTCGATGTTTATATTTTAAGCAGGTGCATTGATGCACTTCTTATGCATCGATGCATTAATGGCATTCGATGTTCATTAATTTAAATGAGTGCATCGATGCACTCCTTATGCATCGATGCACCTTCAACAGATTCTGGGATTTTCTCTTGATGCATCGGTACACTTTGAATGTGCACCGATGCACTCTGCCCAGAATTCATATATTGAACCCGAAAACTCATCCATTTTAGCTTAAATCTTTCATGTTTCATCCCCTTTTATATTCTTAACTTCAGTACACATACTTAAACCAATCTATACTCATTTATTTCATCTTAAACCTCAGAATCCTATCCTCCTTGTGAATTCCAAGAATTATACCAACTTTGCAACATGATTTAATTCAACTTCTAACCCTTAATATATCTTAACTAGATTGATGACAAGTCAAATATAACTTCCAATTCTATATATGAACACTATTCCAAAATTTCATTCAAGAACCTCTAATCTTTAATCTCTTCTAACTCCATCATCCTTTGATTTTAAGATAACCTAAGCTTTCCTTAAGCTTAGTTGTCATCTAATAATCAAAACACAATCTTAAATTTAACAAGAAACTCATTAATCAGAAAACTCACCTTTGTTTTGCTTTACACGTACAAGGAAGAAAGAAGAACAAGAGAACTCTGGAAGCCTTTGGTGTTCTCTCCTTTTCACCCCACGTGGATACATATATAACCCTTCTTTTCTTATTCCATTATAAATGACCTATTTTCCTTTCTATTCCTTCTTCCTTTCAATTCAAATCCATACAATAATTTACAAATAAATCTTTATACTATTCAATCATTCTATTTTAATTACCAAAATCTGAAACTTTCTAATTTAGTCACTAACCCGGTATTGAGGATGTTACAACTCTTCCCCCCTAAAAAAATTCATCCTCGAATTTTCATTATACAAAGAGGTAGGGGTACTTCATCCTCATGTCCTCTTCACGTTCCCATGTTGCTTCTTCTACTTTGTGATTTCTCCATAAGACTTTAACCAATAGAATAGTCTTGTTCCTTAGTTGTTTGACTTCGTGAGCTAATATTTGAACAAGTTCTTCCTCATAAGTCAAATCTGGTCGAACCTCGATCTCTTAGGTAGTCACAATATGGGATGCATCATATCAGTATTTCCTAAGCATTGAGACATGAAATACATTGTGTATCATTTCCATTTCAGATAGCAGGGCTAGTTGATATGCTACTGGTCCTACCCTCTTAGTAATCTCGTAAGGTCCAATGAACCGGGGACTCAACTTTCCTTTACGTCCAAACCTCAATACTTTCTTCCACGGAGACACTTTGAAGAACACTTTATCTCCGACTTAAAATTCAATCTCTTTCCTTTTTAAATCAGCATACGATTTCTGTCTATCAGCTGCAGCTTTCAAATTATTTTGAATTACTTGAACTTTTTCTTCCGTATCCTGAATCAATTCAGGACCTATAACTTTTCGATCC